CTACTACTACTACTACTACTATGTTTCTCTTGTTGTGATTATGATGCTTGCTACGGTGAACCTTCACTTTGGAAACCCGAAGCCAGGCTCCGAAACACCAACAGCATGCGCCCTAAGCATCCTAAACCATAAACCCTTAAACCCTATAGCAGCTTCCTCAGTGTGAGTGCTGGGACTATCGACAAGCCGTGCCTGCCTGTGCAAGCGTGCGAGTCGAGAACTTTAAACCCTGAACAACTGGTAGCCCTAAGCCCCAAAATGCTTAACCCTAAGCCTAAGCCCCGACATTACAAAATCCCGAGCCCTAAAACCCTAAACCGCAAAAGCCCTGAACCCTAAACCCTAGAAACTCCTTCCTCTTAACCTGCTCTCTTCCGTCAAGAGCGGCTCAAAAGTTGAGAAAAAGCAGCCCGGGGACCACACGCGCCTTGAGCGTTGCACTGGTGTCACAAAATGCCGGGAACTCGGAAAATCAAGATTGATAAAACTTAGTAGAAATGATAATGAAAAGAATGATCATTGATAAACCTTAGAAAAAACGATAATGAAAACAATGCTTACACTTATAACTATAAGAGCAATGGCAATAGCAATGACAATGACAGTAACGATGGAATAATGAGAACTGTAATTTCAAGCAGTAACAGTTTGTATTAGTAACCGGTAATAGTAGTAATAGTCTGAGTAATAGTACTAGGAACAGTTTTGCGGTCCCTAAACCCTAAACATACCTACACCTGCTTTCTGACTCTGTGAGACGCAAAGGGACGTCTAACAACACAGCATCCCCAAACATCGAGGTTCAAGAACACGTACCAGTCGGGCTTCCTGTCAATCCTCTACTCCATCGGCAGCAAGCCACTTCAAATCTGGGACAAGAAGGCGTCCTTCTGCTCATGCCAAGGGACTTAGGTGCAGCTGGCTAGATGTGAGCAGAAGATGGCGGAAGTTTTAGTGATGTGAGTCTTGGCAGCCTGCTGCTGTGTATGCACATGAGATGATTCAACCAGCGACTGGCAGGTCCGCAATGGGCACATCAAGCGTCTCACCGACTCTGACATCCAATCAAGCGTGTTGGAGCGGTGTGCACATCCATGTCTTACACTCCTGATGTAAGTATGTGAGCTACTTGTTAAGACGGCGCCTTCATCGCAGGAGATCATGGGCACCAATGTGAGCACCACTTACATCACCTGCCCCGCCGATCCTTCGAAGACCTTGGGCATCAAGCTGCCTTTCTTGGCACCTCGGTTTAGGGTTTAGGGTTCAGTGTTTAGGGTTTAGGGTTTAGGGTTTCGGAGTAATGAGTCTGTCTGAAGGCGAGCTTAGTCTGCAGGTGTAAGATTCGCCGAAGCCTATGGGGGCTTGACTCCACTCTGATTCATGGGGGTCTAGGGTTTAGGGTTTAGGGATTAGGATTTAGGGTTTAGGGTTTAGGGTCTAGGGTTTAGGGTTTAGGGATTCGGATGGCTTCAGGTCATGATTATCAAGAACCTGAAGAAGTACTTCACCTTTGAGGCCTAGAGCACAGAGCTCTGCAGCGCCGTCCATATGACCTTTCCATGGTTTCTGCGTTTGCGTCGCGAGGTGACGGTGTTGGACGACAAAGAGGTGCGGCGACGCTTCCGTGCTTCGAATTACCAAAGCACCACCAGGTCGGGGCACTGGAAGACATGCAAGTACTAGTACTATGAGAACTACTCGTACTCATGTTAATAGTAGTATGACAACTACTAATATTACTACTATTATCATAACTACTAATATTAAAAGTAGTATTGTTCTTGTCATTTCTTGTCAATTTTACTATTATTGTTATTGCTACTACAACTGTATGATTACTAAGATTATTACTGGCATTATTAGTGCTCTTTAGGAGTGTTGTTGGTATTATTACAACGCTACATTAGCGGTTTGCAACGAACTAGAGTTGTGAGAGTCCCTGTCAGGGTGAAGCCCTTCATTTGCACAATGCCCATGAGGCTGGATGAAGGCTGCTTTGCATCGCAAGGTTTTTGTTGTGCATTTCAATATGTTTGGGTCGTGCGTCTGCACACGGTCTGCCTTGAACCCAGGTTGGAATCAGATGCTTGCCCCAACAGAATGATTTTCTTTGTGTTCGGACGGTACTCGACTGAAGGCCCTCACAGCGCACGTGCTGACTGAGGATCCAGTTCAATTTGTCTGACTTCACGCGCCGTGCCTACGGCACCAACTACATCGAGACCCTCCGCGTGCAGCTGCATGCAAATTGCCGTCTCTTTGCTGGTTTCGTCATTCAGAGCATGCCTGACATTCGCAGATAATATAAAGCCACAGAGAAGAGATTCCTAAAGCGCAAGGCATTCGCCGCATCTACTTCAGCGACCGCTTGTACAGCGAGGAGGAACTCCCTCCTGAGTTCAAGCTGTTCTTGCCCGTGACTGAACCGCATTAAGACTTGGTGAAGCCTGGCTTCAGGGATGTCTGACTTCTTGCTTGATGCCTTGATTGACTTGCACCGCCCTTCGCAACGCAGCCCATATGTGACCCTAAGCCCTAAACCCTACTGCAACCTCGCCTGGCTTGTCCGAGTTGTGAGAGCCTAA